AAATCCAGTTTTTCAGAAAGTCTAAAAGATAACTAAAACCTTCTTAATGAGACGTAATTGTAGCGCGCACATTTCTGATTAAAATGAGACGTCTCTCAGTTCTACACGATCTTTCTTTTCAAAGTTATACAATTTACAAGAAAAGCGCTAATATAATTCCTTCTTATTTCTGTAGATTTGAGCTGACAATGAATATTTAGGGCTTTTCTTGTAAATTCTATAACTTTGCAAAGAAAGGGCATGTAGAGCTGAGAGATGTCTCATTTTAATCAGAAATCTGCAGGCTACAATCATGCCTTATTAAGGAAGGTTTTTGGTTGTTTTTTAAAGTTTCTGTAAACTGATTTTATAGAGAAACGACCCTTGGAAGGTCTTTAAGCCCGTCTCATTTTTACCACAGATTAATAGTCAATGTGTTGTTATTAGAATGGTTTTAACTTCTTGTGAATGTTTTATTTCAGGAAAAATTAGTACGATGTTAACAAAATTAAAGAATAATCATGATGAACCATCAATAACAACAGCAGCAGATCAACAACTAGAACTGTATATCAAATCTCGTACAGAAAATTTGACATCTATTTGTCGTACAATGGAAATCGATCATGAAAATTATTTACATGTTTTGGATCATTATCGTGATGAATGTCAAATATTGAAATTATATTCAAATCGCCAAATAATGATATTATTAATTTTATTATCATCATCATCATACAATGAAACAAAACGATTGTTTCTCCAAAATTTATTTGATAAAAATTATCAATGGGATACTCGTAATCAAGATTTAATTCAACAAACAGTACATCAGTTGACAATCGATTGTTTAGTTCATTACCTTAATTCCTTGAGAATAAGTTTTGATTCATCTATGAAAAATTTATCGCAACTTTTAGAAGAAAATAGTTTATATAATGGGGATAGTATTGATGTTTGTTTGAAAAAATTGTGCCAATTTATTAATAAAATATTTTTCAGTGGTAAAAAGTTCCTTCCATCATCGACTACATCAACAATGATGAAGAAAAATAATTCACAACGGAAAATTACAACTACCACACAACAACGAGAAAATCAACAGTATTTAGTTAAATTACCGACGAAGACATCGATAACAGGACATGATCTTGATATGAATACATTTTGTATTGTATTAACAATTCTACACGAACAACTGCCATCTTCATATCAAATATTATGGGCTTCATCGTGCACAGAAGAGGATATTCAATTGTTTTTTTCACGAATTCGTACTTATACCGAATCAATATTTATTGTCATGGATATCGACAAGATGCATCATCGTCTACGAGAACTTTTATTAAACGAACAAGCATCGTTGACTGCCATAACTGATCAAGTGACTCACAGAGAAGTCTATTATTTTTCAAGAGAATTATCGTGCAGAAAGGGAATGAAGCAATGGATATGTACAACAAGAAATGTGAGTGTAAATACAGTTCGGGCAAACTTCGAACATTTGAATTATACACCACCCGAAATTCATATTATTCTTGGAGTGGCTGGTATTGGTAAGTTTTAGACAACTTTTCAAATGTTGACATGAAATTTTTAGTGATGCGATCCTATTTGACAGTAAAAGTGTGTAAGACGAACTAAAATAGAAAATGAATGAAGTGATTCTACAATTATTCATAAGCAAAACTTAATATTTTTGTTTGAATACGTTGTTTTTTCTGCTATGAACTTGCATAACCATATAAAATCGCACTCTTCGGTTTAAGAGTAATACAAGACAGGGGTTTTTCGTTCATCAAATGAGTCCAAAAGCGGCATGCAACAATCTGGTAACTCGGTCACCAAACCGGCTCAGTGATCTAGCATCTCAGTGTCGGTTGTGTCCGGTAGCAGGTTACAAAGGAGATACTACACCAGTTCATTTTTTCTTGTTGTGGGAATGTGAAGTCACTAAACTAGACGTTGGACATTTTTAGTATTAGCAAAAAAGCAATACTTTTACAGAAAGTAGGTCA